CCTTGCTCTGTTTCTGAACAAAGGGGAAGGCCCCCCCAACCCCCCTGATTCAGCCTGTTTCTGTTCCCAAATAAGGGGGGTAGCTCCCCCAACCCCCTTAATCGCCCTGTGGCTATGGTGTGTGGACAGGGGGGGAACCCCCCTTAACCCCCCTGATCAACCCTGCTTTTTTTTGTGAACAGGGGGGGAAGCGCCCCAAACAACCTTGATCGGCCCTGCTCTTGTGGGTTTATACAGGGGGGGGGGCCCCCAACCCCCCACCCCCCACGGGGCCTTCTCTTTTTTTGCGGGGTAGAGCCATAACCTCTCCATCGGGCCTTCCCTTAGTGTGACAATGATTGCTCCCCAAACCCCCTGATTGGCCCTGCTCTGTGAATGATAGAAGACGGCGCCCCAACCCCCCTATCGGCCCCTACTCTGTGCGTGACAGGGGGGAGCTCCTCAACCTCCTGATGGGCCCTGCTCTGTGTATGACAGAGTACGGAGCCCCAACACCCCTGATGGGCCCTGCTCTGTGCATGACAGGGGTCAGCATCCCAACCCCCTGATCCGCCCTGCTCTGTGTGTGACAGGGGGCGGTGCCCCAACCCCCCTATCGGCCCTACTCTGTGAGTGACAGGGGGGAGCTCCTCAACCCCCTGATCGGCCCCGCTCTGTGTGTGACAGGGGGGAGCTCAACCCCCTGATCGGCCCTGCTCTGTGCATGACAGGGGGGAGCTCCTCAACCCGCTGATCGGCCCTGCTCTGTGTGTGACAGGGTACGGAGCCCCAACCCCCCTGATGGGCCCTGCTCTATGCGTGACAGGGGGTGGCGCCGCAACTTTCCTATCGACCCTACCTTGAGTGTGACAGAGGGTGGTGCCCCAACCCCCCAATCGGCTCTACCCTGAGCTTGACTAGGGGTGGCATCGCAACCTCCCGATCCGCCCTGCTCTGTGCATGACAGGGGGCAGCGCCCCAACTCCCCAATCGGCCCTGCTCTGAGCCCAACCAGGGGCTGCACCTAGGGATTGGGCCTGCCCTCTGCCACCTGGGAGCAGGCCTAAGCCAGCAGGTCATTATCTCCTGAGGGGTCCCAGACTGCGAGAGGGCACAGGATGGGCTGAGGGACCCCCCTCCCCCCCCCCCGAGTGCACAAATTTTTGTGCACCGGGCCTCTAGTACCTATAATAATAGGAAATGAAATTCTGCATAGACTATTAATATCATAGATGTTGGGGGTGGGGGTAAATCAAGGAATGTGTGAGCATATAAGTTCTTATCTTTATTAAAGAAAAGATATAGGTATAAACTTTTTAAAAGGAAATATTAAAAAGAAACATAAAAGTGGGAAAAACTGAAGTAGGAAATTAAGATGGTAGAAACAATCCAAATATATTTATAGTTACAGTAACTATGAACTAAATTCACCTACTAAAAGGCACAAAGATTGACAGATTAGAATTAGGCACATCTAAACATAAAGGCATGTGAAAAATCAGGCTAGGCCCAATTTTATATTAAAATTTAAAGGACGGGGGGGGGAATCTTATCAGTCTAATACTTAGAAAAAGTTGTATAGTTATATTAATACTAGAGGCCCAGTGCACAAACTTCATGCACAGGTAGGGTCCCTATGCCTGGCCAGCGATCAAAGCCAATCAGAGCCTTCTGGCTGCCGGCTGAGCCTTCCTTCTTTCCACGCTGCCCTCTTGTGGTCAGCACACATATTGAGGGGTCCAACTCCTGATCGGTCAAACTACCAAGGGGACAATTTGCATATTACCCTTTTATTATATAGGATCAGACAACATAGTCTTTTATTTTATTCTTTAATCGTCACCTGAGGACATGTCTATTTTTATTTATTTTTCATGATTTCAGAGAGAGGAAAGGAGAGGAAGAGATAGAGCCATCAATGATGAGACAGAATCATCCATCAGCTCCCTCCTGCATGCCACCAAAGGGGACCAGGCCACAATCTGGGAATGTGCACTGACTAGGAATCGAACTGTCATCTCCTGGTTCATAGATCAATACTCAACTGCTGAGCCATACAGGCTCAAATATGTACCCAATAAAATATCTGCAAATATATGAAACAAAAATTATATGAAAACATTTTAAAGTAGAGCCCAACGGGCGAAGCTTTGTGGTTAAGCATGAACCAAGAGGTCAAGGTTTGATTCAACTCAGGGCCCATGCCCAGATTGCCAGTTAGATCTCCAGTGGGGGAATGGGGAATCAAAAGGCAGCTGATCAATGATTCTCTCTCATCTTTGGTGTTTCTTTCTCCCTCTTCCTCCCTCTGAAATCAATAAAAATATTTATTTTTAATTTTTAAATAGAATACATGAAAACATTGATAAATTCACTATTATAGTGGGAGATTACTGTCATATTCCTATAAATTATTGAGAAGCCATGAAAAGCTCATATATGTATAAAGAGAGTGAGAGACAGAGATAGAGAAGAGAGATTTGCATCAAAAAACAGCAGAATGTACATTTTTTTACACATTTAAGACACTTATTAAAATTGATTAGGTACCATACCATAAAGAAAGCCTCAACAAATTTAAAGAAATAAGATCATTATAAACAAACAAACAAAAAAGAAATAAGATTATTTTATACTAGTAAAAAAGGGGCCCCTCAGTCTGGCCTGCACCCTCTCCAATCTGAGACCCCTCAGGGAATGTCCAACTACCTGTTTTGCCCACACTTTTAACAGATAACAGCTCCATTGTTGTTTCTTTCTTATGCTTAAAACCATTGGAATTAGTAGGTATTCAAAGTGTGTATACATTTTGGGGGGACCCCCTGTATATCTCTAGTCAGCGGTGAAAGAAACCAACAGCAGATTTGGAACCCTCAGACAGGAAACCTTGCTCACTCCCCACGTCTCCCCACTTCACTTTCCACCTTCGTGGGCAGCAGGAGAATCAACGTTTTCTCTCATTAATTCGGAAAAGCACGTCCTGTCACCCGCTGCCCGGCAGGAGTGCGCTAGGCCCCAAGCAAGCAAGGCTCAGTCAGGGCAGCCTTCACTCATGGGTGCTGGCACCCAAAGTGCACATTCCTCCTCTACAGTCGCCCCGACTATCCCACTGTTTCACTGAGAGGACGGAATTCCTCTCTGCCTCTGGGTTCTTGATCTTGAACGCTGACCAAAGGCACCTCAGAGAGGGCTGCCCGTGCCCACCAGGTGTGTCTGTCTGCACCTGCTCCTGCCTCAGCACCTGCATTAACCCCCCAGAGGTGACCTCGTAGCTGCACTGGCCTCCATGGGAACAGGGCATCACCACTCCACCCTCTCACTGTCATCTCACAGGTGCCCACCCTCAGCACCCAGAACACCCAGACACTCTCCAAAGGACGAGAGCACATCAGAGGGGATGTGTGCACATCCTGTGGGGGTGTTAGGCATGCCGGGTTGATGGAAGTGCAGTGGAGAGGCAGGGGGAACTTGTGCATGCCTTGGTTTGCAACTGTTGCAGACGTGGGAGGGTGACAGTGTGCTGGGGGATGTTCGCACGCCAGGGGGTGATGTGCACACCGGAGGCCTCTGCCTTTGCAGATCCACAAACCCCCGTGGTGCAACCAGGAGGACGTCAGTCTGGCCCGCCACGGTGGCTGTCCCTGTGATCCTGCACGTTCTGGGCCAGGAGGCGGATCTTGCGCAGCCACTCCTGAGTGCTGATGGCCTGCAGGCCCTACATCAGCTCAGCCTGCAGGCTCTGCTTGGCCCGCTCACAGCTGTCACCACTGCCATGTGGGGAGTACAGGCCGCTCGCCGCTGGCCTGCCACCCTTGTCCAGAGGCTCTCTGTGCTGCTCACCTGCCCAGAGTGACTGGGGCTGGGTGGAAGCCAGGCATCCTGCCCTGCCCGACCCTGGCCGATCCGCCCCTGTGCGAGCTGCCGCCCTAATGTGAAGGGTCATGGATCCGGGTCCCGGGACCGTGGACAGCCTCAAGCACTGCCCCCCACCCGGCAGGGTCACAGATCTGTGTCTTGGTCCCGTGGACAGCCTCAAGCGCTGCCCCCCGCCTGGCAGGGTCACAGATCCGGGTCCTGGGACCGCGGACAGCCTCAAGCACTGCCGCCCTGCCCGGCAGGTTATGGATCCAGGTCCCAGACCGAGGAGAGCCTCAAGCGCTGCCACCCCAACCACCAGGTCACGGATCTGGGTCCCAGACCATGGACAGCCTCAAGCGCTGTTCCCCGCCCGGCAGAGTCACAGATCCAGGTCCCAGGACAGCGGACAGCCTCAAGCACTGCCCCTCGCCCAGCAGTCACAGATGTGGGTCCCGGGACCGAGGACAGCCTCCCACGGTGCCCCCCACCTGGCAGGGTCACAGATCCGGGTCCCAGGACCACGGACAGCCTTGCCCGCTGCTGCCTGCCTTCAGTATACAAATTAGCCGCCATCTTGTTGCTTTAGGGTGGGGGTCCCCACTGTGGTGCCTGGCCAGCCTGGATGAGGGGATGATGGCTGTTTCCAGCTGGTCACACCCCCTTCAGGGTGCCTGGCCAGTCTGGGTGAGGGGCTGAGGGCCGTTTTCAGGCTGGCGAGTGACTGAAGCTCCCAACCTCTCCTTTTTTCTTTTTTTTTTATTCTGGGATTTATTTACCTTCTATGGCTGTCACAGGAGCTGAGAGCTGCCTTTAGCTCTGAGGCTCGGCTCCAGCTCTGAGACCTCGGCTGCTGAGAGCAGGCACTGGGTTTGTTTGGATTCTATAATTGAAACACTGTTGCGATGCTGCTGGCTGAAGCCCTGCTGGCTGAAAGCAGGTTTCTGGAGTTTGTTTAGCTTCTATATTTGCAACAATGTTTCTTAAACTGCAAGCTCAGAGGCCGGCAGCGGCAGGCGGGGAACGTTGGCTTCCTCCATCACTGAAGCAAGCAAGCCTCCTGTTCGCTTCAAGCTGCCTGGCTGCCGGCCGCCATCTTGGTTGGCAGTTAATTTGCATATCGCCCTGATTAGCCAATGGGAAGGGTAGCGGAGGTACGTCTAATTACCACGTTCCTCTATTATTAGATAGGATATTACTGGGGAAAGATATGGTATACAATATACCACAATTAAACAATTCCTACTTGTGTCCACCCCACATTTGTTTCTTCACAGAATGACTATTAACATACCCAGGGACTTTCCTTTTTAAAGAATTTATACTAACCTTCTAAACATTCATTCTTGCTTGTTTTGAGGCTTCTTTCTAAATTCAATGGCATTTACTCTACACAGGCTTTGGAAGCTTGCAAAGATGCTGGCTTGGTGAAATCTCTTGGTGTATCCAATTTTAACCGCAGACAGCTGGAGCTAATACTGAACAAACCAAGACTCAAATATAAGCCAGTCTGCAACCAGGTACAGTCTGACAAGAGGGTGGGATGTGCCAAGGAATTTCAAGAGTTACTTAACATAAAGGACCATGGGTTAGGTGTCAGAAAGGTTTGTGCTCACTCTACAAAAAGACCCTGGACAAGTTTTTAACTTCTCTCAACTTATGTCTCTTAAAAAATAACAAATAAAGATTTGAAAGTTTAAATCCAGACCAAAGTAACCCCCAAAAATTTTTGAAGAAATATAATGATGGGAACAAGACCTGCCCGATATTAAGACAGTTGGAATAGAAGAGATTAAAAATGGTAGCAGAGTAAGTGGATGCTATACAGACCCACTTCCAGGACCAAACTGGAATTGCAACTAAAATACAAAAAAAAACCCATCCTGAGTAATCAACTGAAGACTAGCTGGAGAGAACCCTGATAACCAAGCATGGAAAATGGAGACCTCAGAGAGACTGTTAGGAATGGTGGAGATGTGAAAGGGATGGACGGGTTCTAAGAGACAGCAGATGAAGTTCTGGAGATATATCTCAGCTGTGGGGGGTTCCAACTAAGAAATCTGGGGTCTAATTCCCAGGCTGGGCCCCCAGCAGAGAGCACCAGAACCAGAAAAGGTGTCCACATAACATCTGGCTGTGAAAAGCAGCAGGGTTGCTGTCAGCCAGCCAGAAATGGCTGGAAATGCCAGCACCCTCTTAAAGGGCCAATGCACAAAATTTAATGTGTAGCCACTCACGTTGGGCTCTAATAGAGGGAGAGCAGAGTGGACTGGAGCTCTGTGAGCAGAAGCTAGATTTGGGGTCTCTGGATTAGCTCAGAATGCAGACACCCTAACCCTAGCTGGTTTGGGCTCGGTGGATAGAGCATCGGCTTGTGGACTGAAGGGTCCTAGGTTCGATTTCAGTCAAGGGCACATGCCCGGGTTGCTGGCTCGATCCCCAGTGAGGGACATGAAGGGGGCAGCCGATCAATGATTCTCTCTCATCATTGATATTTCTAGCTCTTTCTCCCTCTTCCTTCCTCCCTGAAATCAATCAAAATATATTTTTTTAAAAAAAGAAGAAGGCAGACACCCCAGTTGCCTATGCTGAGTCAATCCCTCATCCTGTGGAGGTCATCTTTCTCAGGCAGACCTTTGCTATCCAGGCGGTTTTTTACTAGGGGGAAGACAGTTGACCCACCCTATTGAAAAATCTTTTGCCCCAACCTGTGGAGTTTCTGAGGCCCATCAAGAGACTGAGAATAGCCTTAGCCAGTTTTTCTCATTGGATAGAGCATTGGCCTGTGGATTGAAGGGTCCCGGGTTCAATTTTGGTCAAGGGCACATGCCTGGGTTTTGGACTCAATCCCCAGTAGGGGGCATGCAGGAGGCAGCTGATCAAAGATTCTCTCTCATCACTGATGTTTCTCTCTCTCTCTAACTCTTCCTCTCTGAAATCAACAAAAATACATTTTTTTAAAAGAGACAGAGAATAATAATTTATAGGAAGAAGCAATTGCTCCAATTTCCCAGTTGGTAAACCTCTCACCACACCTGTGTATGATTGCCTAAGGACTACTCAAGACTGAATCCAGTCAGACTCAGACAGAGATGGGTCTCTGGAGGCTTTGAGTCTTTGCCTGATCTAATTAGTCAGAAACAGCATTTGACACTGTCCTTCACTAGAGATTGGGAATCATATCAAATCTACCTAATATATAGTCATAAACCCAAACAGGTAGCAATAATGAGAAGACAAAAAACAAACACCACATAATAGAACAAGAGAATTTTCCAGAAGAAGAGATAAATGAAATGGAGACAAGAAATTTATCTGATATAGAATTCAGAATAATGATGGTAAAGATGCTCAACAGTATGAAAAAAGATATAGTAACTATGGGAAAAGAACAGTTGAAAATAAATAATGACCTAGTACTAATAAAGAACACATTGGAAGGAATACACAGCAGATTAGGGGAAGCTGAGGATTAGATTAATGAATTAGAAGACAGGACAGAAAAAAATCACACAGAGAACAAAAAGAAAAAAACAATTAAAAAACAAGAAGACAGCTGAGCTGTGGGACAACACGAAATGGAAAAATATTCGCATAATAAGTGTACCAGAAGGGAAAGAAAGTGAGCAAGAGACAGAGAACATGTTTGAACAAATAATAGAATATTTCCCTCACCTGGTGAAGGAAAAATTCACACAATTAGGAGGCAGAGAAAGTCCCAAGCAAGAACCTAAAGAGCCCAACACCAAGACACATCATAATTAAAATGTCAAAATTAAACCAAAAAAAGGAGAGAATCTTAAAGGCAGCAAGAGAAAAGCAATTTATTACCTACAAAGGAGCTCCCATAGGCTGTCAGCTGATCTGTCATCAGAAACTCTACCAGTAAGAAGGAACTAGAATGAAGTACTCAAGGTAATGAAAAGCAAAAATCTGAAACCAAGATGACTATATCCAGCAAGGCTATCATTCAAAATAGATGGTGAAATAAAGAGCTTCCCAGACGAAAACAAACAAACAATCCAAAAAAAAAAACCACGCCAAATGAGTTTATCACCACCAACCAGCATTGCAAGAAATGCTAAAGGGACTGCTGAAATGAGAAGAAGAAATAGAAAGAGAAAGCTAGGCAAACAGAATACAAATGGTAGTAAAAAAGTATCTATCAACAATAACCTTAAATAAAAATGAATCAAATGCTCCAATCAAAAGACAAAGTGTAGCTAAATAGATGCAAAAACATGACCCAACTATATGCTGTCTACAATGAGACCCACCTCAGAGCAAAAGACACAAATAGAATGACAGTGAAAGGATGAAAATAAATTTTACATGCAAATGGAAAAGGAAAAAAAAAAGCTGAGGTAGCAATACTCATATCTGCCAAAATGGGCTTTGAAATGAAGTCCATAACAAGTGTCAACAAAGGTCACTTCATAGTAATAAAGGAATAGATCCAACAAGAGGGTATAATTCTGGTAAACATATATGCACTCAATATAGGAGCCCCTAAATATATAAGAAAACTTCTTGAGGACTTTAAGGGAGAGATAGACAATAATACAGCTATCATGGGGACTTTAACACCCCCACTTACTTCACCGGATAGATCTTCCAAACAAAAAATTAATAAGGAAACCGTAACTCTAAATGACACACTAGATCACATGGATTTAGTTAACATTTCACCCCAAATCTTCAGAATATATATTCTTTGCAAGTGCACATGGGTCATTCACAAAGACAGACCACATGTTAGGACACAAAACAAGTCTCTACAAGTTCAAGAAGATGGAAATCATATCCAGCATCTTCTCAGATCACAGAGGAATGAAATTAGAAATCAATTACAGTAAAAACACCCCAAAACATTCAAACACATGGAGGCTAAATAGCATGTTATTAAACAATGAATGGGTTACACCAAGGAGATCAAGAGAGAAATAAAAAATGTCCTTGAAATAAATGAAAATGAAAACACAATAACCCCAAATCTCTGGGACACAGCAAAAAGAGTCCTGAGAGAGAAGTACATAGCACTACTAGGCCTACCTCAAAACCCAAGAAAAATTATTAATAAACTATTTAACCCTACAACTTAAAGAATTAGAAGAGAACAAGAAAAGCCCAGAATAAGTAAAAGGAATGAAATAACAAAGATTAGAGCAGAAATAAATAACATAGAAACTAAAAAAAAAAAATAAGTCAATAAAACCAAGAGCTGGTTCTGTGAAAAGATAATCAAGATTAATGAACTGTGAGCCAGACTCATCAAGAAAAAGAGAGGATCCAAATAAATAAAATTAGAAATAGAAGCAGTGAAGTAACTATTGACACCATAGATATACAAAGAAATGTAAGAAAATACTATGAACAACTATATGACAACAAGCTGGACTATGTGGATAAAAAGATATATAGACTTTTACCATAATGTAAGATTAGTGCAAGAACCAATAGTACAGATAAGTAGAAAATAACAAGGCCCAAGTATAATAAAAATTTCATGCAAAATATAATAGGAAGAACTAGTGTCAAATGGATCGGTTTTTTAATAAACTATTTAACCCTATAACTAATGGTGTGGAGAAATGCCTAGTTATGTGGAAACAATACAGATCTTAGCCTCATACCATACTTCAAAATTAATGTCCCTACGATTTAGAGTTATAGAGAAAGACAAAGACATTGTAATACTACACAAGAATTTCAGTTTTCTGAAGCTATGGACAGAAAAGTAAGCCATGGAAAAAATATAATGAAGATGTTAAATTTAATAGTATAAAAATGTTAAATGTAAAAATATCAGAAGCAAGGAGCAAGTAAATATAGATAATTGTATTTTTAAATATAATATTAAAGAGGTTTATATCCTTGTGAATTAAAAGTCTAATTAAAATCAATGAAAAAATAGAATACTAAGGCTCAACAGGAAAATGGGCAAAAGTAATGAATAGAAATTTGCAAAAGACAATTTGCAAGATTAGTAGACATATGAAAATGTGTAATTGTGGTAACAATAACAGAAATGTAAATTTAAGTGTGATGACATGCTCCCCCTCCTGAGAGCATGCCAGCACCTTTCTCTTCCCCTTCTTCTTCCCTCTCAGGCATGCATCTCCTAAACTCTAGGGGATTCCAGGAGACCTGGAATCAGGGGAGCAATGGCCAGAGGCAGCTCAACCTGGGCTAACCCCCTGAAACTGTCTCCAAAGCCCCCTTTTCTCTGATTTGGCTCACTGAGAAATTAGTGTTTTTAGTAACTTAAAAAGTTTGGCATGAGTCCATGACAGAAAGAATGAATTATTACCTACATCATGACCATAGCTAAAATGGAAGAGTGGCTATTTTACAAGTACCACTTCCAAACTGACACCTAAGCTAACACTATACAATATGCTCTCAGGTATACAGAGTAGCAACCTTTGACTTCCTAGCTGACCTCCATCCATCCCTATATTCCTCCTTTTTCCCTCACCCGCACATCTCCTTCCTACACCCCCAAGAACAATATTCTGTCATTTAAATGTTGAAATGACAATAGGTTTCTTACAAATCTACTTATATAAAAACCATGGGTGGTGTTCA